ATTTTCACCAACAAGTCTCTCTCATTTATTTATCTCTTCTTACCATTGCCTTACAGTGCCCGTAAAGGTTTTCACTAGTAAGACTCTCTCATTCATTTTTTTTTTCATTTTCTTTTTTTTTTTNTAAGATTTTGATCCTAGGAGAAAGTTCATCAGACTAGGTCTCTTTTCTACTTCTTTTTTGGTATATTAGGAGAAAGGTTCATCAGACTAAGATTTCTATCTTAGCAGAAAGATTCATCAGACTAAGATGTTTATCCTAGGAGAAAATTCATCAGACTAGGTCCTTTTTCTCTTTTTTTTTTGATATCTTAGAAGAAAGATTCATCCGACTAAGATTTCTATCCTAGGAGAAAATTCACCAGACTAGGTCTCTTTTCTTATCTTAGGAGAAAGATTTATCAGACTAAGATTTTGATCCTAGGAGAAAGTTTATCAGACTAGGTCTTGTATCTTAGGAGAAAGATTTATCAGACTAAGATTTTGATCCTAGGAGAAAGTTCATCAGACTAGGTCTTCTATCTTAGGGGAAAAATTCATTAGACTAAGATTTTGATCCTAGGAGAAAGTTCATCAGACTAGGTCTTCTATCTTAAGAGAAAAATTCATCAGACTAAGATTTTGATCTTAGGAGAAAGTCCATCAGACTAGGTCACTTTTTTTCTTTTTTTTGGTATCTTAGGAGAAAGATTCATCAGACTAAGACATTTATCCTAGGAGAAAATTTATCAGGCTAGGATTTCTATCTTAGGAGAAAGATTCATCAACTAAGATTTTGATCCTAGGAGAAAGTCGATCAGACTAGGTCACTTTTTTTGGTATTTTAGGAGAAAGATTCATCAGACTAAGACATTTATCCTAGGAGAAAATTCATCAGACTAGGACTTTTTATCCTAGGAGGAAAAATGTAAAGATCAATGGCATGATTTTATGCACAATAGCAAGACAAATAAAGGCAAAGATTTGAGAAACTTCCCTTTGTAGTCTCTTCTCTTCTTTTCTTTTTCTTCTCGTTTTTTTGTTTTTTTCTTTTTTTTTCTTTTTTTTCTTTCTTTTTTTTGAACCACTTTCCTTGCACTTCTTTGTTCCTGTTTCACACAAAGAAAAATTGGTCAGTTTTGAAAATGGTGGTCGGTTTGTGGCCATGAGTCTTGGGCAGCTTGGCTTCTGCTCAATCAGCTTGAGTCAGTCTCAGAAGACTTTTGTTCTGGACCAACTCTGATTGTTTCACACTAGTACCATTTGTATTTGCAGCTCAAAGCCTTATCCCAATTGGAGATCTTTGCTTATGTGACCTTTTCCGATATCTTGAATGACTTCCTCCTTTTGAGAAATTTGTCTGTCAGAGAGAATCACCAGTTATCTTTGCTTGCGCCAAGTAAGCTGACAAGAGTCTTTTGGGGAAGCCTTTGCATGAATCCTGAAGTCATGTTGAAAGTAACAACTGAGTGTGCTGGCCAAATTTACTTTGTGCAACTGAAAAGCTGGTAGTAGATTTTGAAATCTTTTCTTGCTTGTTTTGACAAGGACCGACTCAGAGTGAAGGACGCAATGATGCAAAGAAACAAGTATCAACAAGAAATGCTCCTGTCGGAAGGACAGAATGAAGAGTTTTTTTTCTTTTTTTTCTTTTTTTCAATAACTAACCTTAATGATCATGACATGCATTCTGGACTCAACGTCCTGATCTATTAAAATAATCCAATCTTCCCTTTTAACATTCTTATGACCTTTGAGTCGGGCTTGTTTATGTCAATTCTTTGCATCAGCATCTTAACTCGCTTTCAACTAGTGGTGCCCCGGGGGATTTTCACCAACAAGTCTCTCTCATTTATTTATCTCTTCTTACCATTGCCTTACAGTGCCCGTAAAGGTTTTCACTAGTAAGACTCTCTCATTCATTTTTTTTTTCATTTTCTTTTTTTTTTTACTTTTCTTGTGCGAGCATCTTGACAGTGTTCTATGTCGCGTGACAACCGTTGCTCATTGCATGCTCCTCTTGACATTTTTGAAGGCATATCGGGAGGTC